TTACAACGAGGTGATCAAAACCCGGCCCAGTATGTAGAAGTTTACGTAGATATCTATCTGCAGATTTTTTTTGTTACACTTAGGGGGAAGTCCCGTAGCGCCGGACGGCACCTAGCGCCGGACACTCATACTATTTTGACAAACGTCAACGCGATCTATTTATAAATCGGTGAAAGGGGTGCGGGGGAACGTAGCGAGACAGGATCACGCAACGCGATTTGCCAGTGAGGCGCACAGTCGTGGTGGAAGCCGTGAATTGCTGTTTTTGGTGGGAAAGCGTTGCGTCACGTAAATTTCAAGTAAGTATTACTGCTATGGTTTTATCCTGAATTGTTTTTGTTATTTGTTAATAAAGACAGTGTTTCACTATAATTATTATATTGTGAAAGTTTTTATTAAATACCTAAACAGTTTTAGTATGAAATACGTAATTTTGGACGTTTCCTGTCCCCTACTTTCGGACACAAAGGTGTCCCTTACCACCGGACAGTTTATAGGTTAGCTTTTTTATGAAGCATTTGTAATGATGATTGTTTGTTGTTTTACAGGATAGAAGGAGAGAGATATTTGAAAATGCAAGAGAGAAAAAAAATGGAAAATGGGATCAGCAAAGTTTAAAAACTGCGATGAACAAGATTTTGTCCAAAAAAATGAGTTTGAGGGCAGCTTCGTCACGTTACAATGTTCCAAAAAGTACTCTACATGATAAAATAACGACATTGAGCAGTGGAAAAGAAGTCACGTTGCAACCAAAAGTTGGTAGATTAACAAAAACCTTCTCACCCGAGTATGAGCAAGTTTTAGTGGACCACATAAGAGATTTGTCTAATAGATGTCTGCCCCTGATGAAAAACGAGTTTTTGAAGTTAGCTTACGACTTGGCTGAAGCTATGAAGATTCCCCATGAGTACACAAACCAAACGTGGCAATAACGACGACAAAAAGGAGCCGTTAACTGAAGTATCAAATATAGAAAAAACGACTTGTGTAGTGTGTTTAGAAGACCACGACGAGGACTGGATACAATGCTCCAGATGCCAATAATGGGCTCATGAAGCATGTGCAGACGTTCCAGAATGTGGAGATGCCTACATATGTGATAGATGCTAAAAGTTTTAGAATGTCCGGCGCTTGGGGTTTGAAGATTAACCCGTCCGGTACTAGGTGCCAATGTCAAAGTCCTTTATTTTTTTACCAAAACTTATTTAACACTCCTAAACTATGTTTACGCAGAATTTGTATTTTTGTTATTTGATTTTGATTTTATGTTTTGTTAATTTAAGTAATTCATAAATAAATACATATTTCTCGATGTAGTTTTAATTTTATTTCCTGAAAACCTTATGTGTCCGGCACTAGGGGACTTCCCCCTACCTAAATGTAATTTTTTTTTATTAAAGTAGCAATTTTAACTAACTCTGCTAACTCAAATCTAGTAAAAATTTGGATTATAGCCTTTGCTGTATCTTATCCGTCTGTACTAATATTCGATAATATTAAATCGAAACTTTACCTTTGATATCAAAAATATGGTTAGGCATTGTAGAAAGGATGATGGATAACCATTTGGTTCAGATTTAAACCAATTATCATCAATAAATAAAAAAAACATGTTGAAAAACTATTGTTTTATATCGAAGGAATAGAAAATAAATGTAAGGAACATTAGAAACTGTTAGCTTTTATACTTAAAATTATGATTTAAAGGTAATAAATAGCAGTGAATTTGAGATGAGCTGATTAGCATACGCGCCACCATGAATATTAAGTGTTACGAAATCTTCAAATATGTCGATGAATTATTGCAACAGTGCTTGTAATAAAATAAGACTACACACCCACTTTGAGATACCCAGAACCTTTCATATGATAATGTTGAAGTTAAAAGCATCTTTCAGTTAATTTCTTATGTTAAAATTTACATAAGCAACCATGGTTACAACTGACTCATTAAAGCATACCGCACCTTAGTAATGTTAGAAAGTACAGCTTTCCGCGAATGGTTGGCCATTGAGAGCCGTCAGCCAAGTGAATTTCTCAACGGTGCCGCCGAATCATCGATGAGTATAGTCCTGCACTCATCTAGCCTCGCATTCACCTGTTTCTTAATGATTGACAAACAAAATTCAACCTTACAAGGTGACATTTAAAGAAATAATTGTACTAGTGCTACGATCTCACATCTTTTGTTGTATTTTATGAGTCAACACAGACGGGCTGTGAACTCTCGGTGACAGAACGACGTAAACCGCGCTTATTGTCAGTCGCCGTGGCTAACACGTGAAATCGGCTTGCCGTGGGGTCCGACGGACTAAAAAATGCATCAGATATCCTTCAAATCTTTAAGTGTTCTAATAATATCCACCCGAAAGGTGACTGATCCAAAGTCTCTGAAAAAGTTGTAATCGTTCACAGAACTTTTAGAAATTTATGATAAAGTGAGATTGTATTTTTGTAGTTGCCGTAAACTTACTGCAGTTAATAAATATTAGAGTTTGAAAACCATTTATGAAACTAAAAGACAAGAGCCAAAATAAAAATTCCACAACAATTGCACAACTCCATGTTGTTCTATGTTTGTGCATGTTCTTATTTTAAATCTGTCGCGGGTTTCTGCGGAAACCGGAGATTTAACGACGAGTCGTCCGCATTGTCCGCGCACGAAGCGTTCGCGGTCAAATGGACCTTGCGACGGCTGATTTGAATATGAAATTCGAACATCAGTTTTATGACGCACCGTTCCATAAGTTAGCAGACGTCCTAGCTTCGTATCGGTTTTATTTGTTTTCGTATGTGACAGTACGAAAATGCTTGCATTGCTAATTAGCACAAGTAAAATGCAACTCCACAAATAATATTGCCTCTTGAACTCCACTCCTTGATATTATTATAAGTTATTATGCAACCGATTCTAATGCCTCTAGTTATATTTATTTTCAAATCTAGAAAAAAGAATGGTTTAATTTATTTAATTAACGCATACTTAGTAACTAGGTATAATCAGTGCATTTTTGCGATCTCTCCTAGGTTAGTAGAGTACCGCAAAACGCATGTAGTTAATAAAAATTACCATAAATATATATCATCATTACAACCTCTGAAAAATATAGAAATGGAGTAAGACTCCATTTTGATCACGCCAGTCCTAAGGTGTTTTATAATATTCGCATATTATTAGCTCAGTTCTTCCGTATGAATGATTTCTTACAGAACTATAACCTTCATAGTCCATCACTGCAATAAAAAATAATACGCTGACAGGTGAGTTCCCGTAGCAACAGCGATTCATCCAGTCAAAGAACCTAAAGACGCACACGCACATCCTGCCCATTCAATGCACTTTTATTATGTTAAACAGCTATCTTTATAATCGTCTAATTTTACGGTTTTTTTTTCGCCACGTGCGAAGAAGATACGGACAAGATAGGGGTTGTTTTAACAAGTATATTAGGAATCATAGGGTTGGTATGATAAATGGTGTGTCTCTTTCAGCTGTATTTGCGAAGGGTCGCCGTTTATTGATGACACGCGGCGCACCCTGTACCTATGAATTTAGTTTCCTTCGGTAAACATCGTTAGTGTATAAAGTGCTCTTTGGAAGTATTTAGAATTTCTTGTTTGTTTTTTGTTTTATGTTTATTTAAGTTTTTTTTAATTCATGGATTGACTAACTATTTTCCTATTCGAAGATCATGTGACAATTATTTTCCCATTAATAAATACATTTCACAAATTTAATTTGGTTTTTCTTTTTAGAATATGTGATAATTTTGTTTAATAAATTTAAAATAACTTGTATCTTTATCTCTTATATCTAACCAATTTTCATTTCAATCAACCTTTTTTTTACCTACATATCTATAACTTGTAAAAAAAGTTTAATATAAAATAACTCCCAACTGTTATGGTATTATTTGTCCAAGTCATCATCTTAAAAATGAAACTTTAAATGGTCCCTTTTGCTTTTAATTTATGTGTATCAGAAAGTCAAAGGACACATTGCAGATAATAATGCTTACAAGGTTTTAGTAAAATGCTTCTAACTTATCTATTGGTTCATAACAATAAATTACCTAATAACAGTATTAGAATCATAAAGACAACTTCTACAAATTATTTCTACCAAAATACTTTTTAAATTTTTATTTTGCATTGTTATCCTCGTAACCACGTCATACTTGTATACCTATAGCTATATAGAATTGACAGGTCATAAAAAAACATATTTTATGTACATATATATTTTTGTCTAGCGCTAGTCAATTATAAACCTCTACCTCTTCTTGTCTTTTGAATAGAGAATTATTTTATAAAAATAAGTAACACTCTAATCACAGAATTATTTGAGTACATTAGCGAATAAAATTAAAAAGATTATCTGATTGCATGCGTTGGGGATGCTCCGAGAGACAAGGGACAGGCGGAAATGCTTTGTGAACAGCGGAAACAGATATAATGCGATCAACATCTTGCACGTCTTCACTTTTTTATCATAAACCTTTTGCTAAACTTTAAAACAGACCAGACGATTACTCCTCGTCTTTGAACGAATAAAGTAGGGGTCGTTCACCAGAGCCGATACTCCTTTTATTTAGAAATAATCTTGTTTTCTTTTTTAAAAGTGCCTCTACTGCGAGTTTTTCTAGCACCAAATACGTTATAATAAAAATATTCCTGACCCCCGTTAGAATAAAAAAGAAAATAATAGTGGTGAATAAAATGACTGTTAACAAATTCTCGGCAAATTTTTGGTTATACATGTAATTCGAGAACGTTTAATGAACATCTTGATATATAACTATTGATCTTAAGATGTCACAATGTCTCCGATTTCTACTAAAAAGTCTATATTTAACTTTACGGTTCCTTCAAAAATAACTGTAGGTATAATAAAACTGAGTATTCTGTCTTAGGTATGCTTGCATATGAATCATAGCGTGTAGATAACAAAATATCTTCAAGTGTCTCGACGATGACTAATGTTTTTATTTTGTCTACAGCAGCAGACAGCCAGGAGTCTGCGAGTCCTCCACCGAGTCCGACTGACTCTGGAACTTCAGAATCAGCGCCCACCCTAGTCCATATAAAACAAGAAAATATGCCACCTGGAACTGATCTCAAGGAGTACTACGGGTCCCTCGACTTTGGACTATCCGATACATACCTGTCGTCAAACTTCCAAGACTATGGACGAGGTTACTTACCCAGGCCTCTAGAACTACGTAATCAAAGCTTCTTAGATCCAAAAAGTCCAAAGGAAAATGACGAACGGAGCAAAGAAGGTGATTCTGGTGATACGGACTTTAGTCTACCAAGTGAACTAATATTGAAAAGTGGTGGAATATTTGCTAGAGTTACCATAGCTAATGGTACTAAATATGGACCTTTTCTTGGGAAATGGGAGTCACAACCTTTGGATAGAAGGTTCGCTTGGGAGGTAAGTGCTTATATATATAATAGCAAAAATATAATAATGTGTTAGTAGACAAGGTAGTTAGGGTGTGCATTTGAGAACATTCTATTTTAAGAGAACGTATTAAAGAAGGTTATGAAATGGTAGTACTCTGTAGCTCAAGTTCCTAGCAGTATCTTTCAAGGACATTCAATGAGCCTTATTACACAACAAAAATTTTGCCGAAAGAAATTAGTGGAATGACCTTTAGTTCTATTTTCAACGTACCTTAACTATATTAAAGATAATATTATTTATGAAGAAAGAAGAAAAAGGGAAGAATATTTAAAATATACATTTTATACCCTTCATATAGTTTACGCCAATTTGCAGATAAGTAACACTTCATTGGTAAGAAGTTGCTATAACAATTTATGTGAGATTCTTCTGCATACCTATCACAAATACTCTCACGTTACTGCACCCAAAAAAGTAATGACAAAGCACTCATTCTTCTACGTTCAAGTTAATTTAAGTTATGAATGAGCCACTTGTGTTGGTATCAAGTATGAGTGTCAAAAACGCGTGCCCCGTTCGTTCGTTGTCAATAAATAATATTGGAAAACTGAAGCGCTGTCAAACACGGATGCAATAAACTGTCGGATTTATTGATCACTTTAGTTCCTTCGTGTCTTTTGAGTGCACTGAGCTCTCATTTGAATGGTTGCACACTTCATTATTTTTTAATAAGTCAGACCTCGTTTAGAAGTGATGGTTGAACAAATTTTAAGTTCGCTTTCTACAAAAAAATACATCTATATTCGATAAAAAATTTAGACATGTAACAGTGGGAACTAAAAGGTCGCAACACTTTTTATTTTTCTCGAATGAGTTGGTAGAAGTTTATTATACCTACTATTACTACTACGTGTAAAAATTGTAACAGTTTTTTTTAAACAGAAAAGCTCATGTTTTTCATTTTTAAAACTTTCTAGGTTGCACCGGCCGTGGTCACAGGCTGACTCAGTCAGCCTGTGACCACGGCCGGTGCAACCTGGTCGAAACGTCAGGCAAACCAGAGGTATGTAATACCCTAAATAAGAGATCGCGTTAATTCCCGTTAAATAATATTAATTATCATGGAACGCGAAAGTTTAAAAGTTAGTATAACAATTAATTAAACGATTTATTTAAAAAAGAGTGCACTTTTTTAGACCTATATGCAGAATTACATTGATGAGTCTTCAACAATACTACGCTTGGGTTATAAGTTAGAAAAATAAAGCATTACAAGAATAACGCAAAAAAAATTGTATTAACGAAGAAATATTTAAAAAAAGTTCATGTTAAAGATTTATCGAAACTACAAATTATTGTAAAGTGCACCGAAAAATTAAATTTTATAATTGATTGTGCAAATTTTAAATAAAGACATTCAACGTACAATGGAAGGCATCGGAGAATTTTGCGAGGGGTGTGGCAAATTTATCTCTGGTCGGAAACGGAAATCAATTGTTGTGTCAGATTCCTGGATTACAAGATGATATTTAATCACACTAAAAGTATTGGATTACTTTGTGATTTACGAAGGTTGACGCACATACTGCGAAAAACTAAACTAGTGACTTGGTAAAATAATAATAATAATAGTCTCCCACGCAAGGGCAAATTTTATTCTACATACTTATCTCCTAAATGAAAATGTTCTTGAGGCCTAATCAATTTTTTAGACCTCAAAAGCCGGTAACGAACTTGTGGTTAAGTTGCATGTATCCACGGGCGGTGATAGCCCCATACCACATACCCCCATCTGCTCATTTGCCCCCTGCATTATAAAAACAGCGCTATACTTGTACAACAAATAAAATACCAACAAAATAAAAATAAATATTGCCATTTCTTTCAACAAAAGGCCGGACGCGAGTAGGACATCATAATAGAGTACTGAGATGCGCAAGCGCATCAAATATCGGTCTGTTCGCGACAGATAACGCGTGTTTAAGTGTGGGTGTCATATTGCAGTCAAACCACACTATTATAGTATTGTACGACAGACATTTAGTTCCGGTACTCTGCAGATCCATTTATATTGTCATTAGAAGTCGTAGACATTGTAACAATATTTATCAGCTCTATTTATATGTTACAAGTTCATATTTAATAGCTTTACTTAAATGTATAAATGTTATTAATTTCTCACCTTGAGTAATAAATTATATTAACAAAACCTTAATACATTACATTAAACTTTATCCACAGTCAATGCCAAACGATATTATATCATAATATAAATGGAAAGTAATGATAACGTAAAAATCTGCAAAATAATAAATGGTTATTTGTAGTTTTTAGTTAGTTACAGCGTATTTAAAAAAAGCTTTTGTTAGTCATTTCGTCCCTAAATATGTAGATCAAATGTTGGAGGTTATAGTACTATTTAACTTACTTGTTCTTCTCGTATCGTATCTAAACTTTCTATGTACACATTTGAAGTTAGAATGACTATTATATATATACTATAAGTTGAGATCTTGTATGATATCTGATCTAGTGATGAATCCAGAATTCCACTATCTACCAAGATAGTGGAATTCTTCAGAGGCTACTACTAGCCAATGAGTTTGGGTTTAACGAATCCGATTGGGATTCCTAACAACGGTCTAATCATGCAACTTAGTTGTAGATTATTGGAACTTTTTGTAGTTTGAAATACCGATTTTTATATTTCAAACGTATGTTTTATAATCTTTGTCGCGTCGTGTAATGTGATCAAAACTGTATTTTTATTAATATTTATTTTTTAGGGCTTTATTATTTGCCTATTTGGCTTTTGTGTTGTTGCTTATTATTGTCAAATAACATACACAGGATTTATACTTCAAGTTATTATTCAACAAAACACTTAATAAGAAAATAAAATAATACTGGTTACCTGATTCTGGGTTAAGTTTATGTTCGAGTGGAAAGCATTATATACCGTTAACTTACATTTTAGGACAGTATTTAACTGCATGTCTGTATTTCATTGACTACGGACCAACTTACTTTATGTTTAATATTTATGTTTTCTTATAATAATGGGCGTATGAGGAAAAGGAATTCATTGGTACTTGCCAGATTACCTTTAAGTGTGCGTTTGTGCCATTGAATCAATTGTGATATAATATTACATAAGGTTCGTCGATATGTTTTGAATCCTACGGATATTTAGCCTTTTTATATTTTAGATTTATAAATAATTTTATTGTGACAAAGAAATATTTCAATGATGCAATTATTCCAAATTTCAAAATAAAAATATATTATAAATCGAACATATTAGTATCTTATCCATATACGTGGAAGTCGTATAGTTACTAACAACATTTATAAGTATTGTTGTTTGAGATCATTATATTGTTAGAAATCCAAGCTTTCTTCTCTCTTGATCTCGTACGTGACACCGTGTAAAAGTGCCAATTGTGACGTCATTAGAACGAACGCTGACCACGCTTCCGACTCGCTGGCCATAAAACGATCCTTTGATGGCATTTAGTTTCAGTTTCTAACAATGTCGTTATGACTATCCGTTTTGTGGTTTTCTGTGAACAATGAATCAACTAGTAATTGGAATAGATAGAAATTTAATTGTGAGATAAAAGTGTGAGGAATATATTGTGCTTCCGCTTTTTGATACTAAAAGGGGCAAGTGCGCACACATTTACCCTGATTTGGTTTGCGATCCGGTAGATCATTATTAAGTTATTCATATAAATGGGGCACAATGAGTCTTTGGATCTGGCCACTTACAGTAAAAGACTGAAAAAGCAATTATGAAATGCGAAAATAGAACTTTTTGGGCAAAATTGTGAGTCGATATCAAAATAAATTTAACTGATTTTTTATGATTTTCGTTGTTGCTTAAATCAACAAGATAGTTGCAAGAGACTTTAATTGGCATTTGGTGATGAAGCACCATATTGCAGGTATGTGTATTCACGGTTTGGAGAATTTAGACGTCTACGTGATCACCTCCATGACAAGGTACATGAAGGTCGGCCAGTGACTGCGGTTACATGCTCTAATATTGACACCGTACAACAATATATCTAAACTGACAAAGAAATTACTTGCCAGCAAACTCGTGCTTGTTTTGCACAGCCAAGTGCAAAACATTTTACAAGTGCATCTGAAGGTTCGGAAGCTTTGCACTCGATGGATACCGAGAGACATAACTTTTACAGTAATTTAAGACTGGTCCAGCTGCTTTGTACAATGGTTTCAGCGAATGCAAAAAGCATTAATTGCGACTGAATATACTTTGAAAAACAATAAATGTATCGTAAGTCTTATATCTAGTCTTATTTATCAGAATCCAGAAAGTTTCAGTATGCCTCAAGTACGTACAAATACACTACTTTCCCTAAAAAAATAAATTATCAATTAATTAATAATTATTAAAAATATTATATAAATAACCAGAGTTTTTAAGCCGCTATGGTGGACTTTTAATGTCAAATAAATATTATTAACACATTTTACACATTTATTTATGTTTTTACATCTTCTATAGATGCTTAGAAAGAATTAATCTGTACCTATATAAGTAATTATAATTATTTTGTTTGAAATCCACCTATGACAAAAGTATATTGAAATCTCTGCAACAGTTTTTTTTTATAAATTTGTGATATGATTTAATGCAATTTTGAATTTAAGCGTATTTCACGTCAAGCTGTAAGGGGTTGAACACGTTGTCGTCACGGTGATGGCTTTATTATCTAACAACCGTTTCCCAAACGTCGATATCTCAAAATAAAATCTTCACAAAAACATCCGGGTAATCAAAGAATTCTTTATTTGAACATCCCGTGTCAAAGTGCAGTGAGAGGTTGAGAATAAAAACCCTAATTTTGGTTTAGGCGTGACCCCCGTCAACATTTTTTTTTACAAATTTACACTTTTTTAACCAAAAAGTAACGGTGGTGAATTGTGTCAAAGACATGTCGTATTCACACTTTAAAATGGAAACTTGATTGGCAACTTTTTTTAAAAACGTCACCAAA